GTAAACTTACCATTTTTCAAGTATCACAGAAGTGAAGAGCTTCTCTTGCGATGGATGGAATTTTCCGCTTTCACCACCGTGTTCCGGACACATGAAGTAAGTTTAACGTTTCATTCCCTGGAAATTAAATTCCATGATTTTTTTTCTTCTTTCCACTCTCAATGCTGAAAGATTTGACGAGTTTTGCCATTTCTGAACATATTCATTCAGGGAAACAAGCCATCTTGCAACAGCCAGTTCTACTCCAATAATAGAACACTGTCACATTTCGCACGTCTTGCAAAGATCTACAAAGCATGGAAGTTTTACAGGATTCAACTAGTTAAGGTAATATACGATCACAGTTTGGTTTTTCAAAATAAAAAATTTAAACCAAAAGATCTAAGAAATAGTACCTTGTTGAATTACACAGGAAGCCTGTCAGAAAGGGCTACCAATTTGTCGACATCTCTTCCTTCACTATCCAGAAGATGAACATGTACATAGCTTAACACATGAGCAGTTCCTAGTTGGCACAGAGATACTTGTGGTACCCGTGCTAGACAAAGGCAAAGAATATGTTAAGGTCTATTTTCCGATAGGAGAAAGCTCTTCATGGAAGCATATTTGGACAGGAAAACTGTATTCAACACAAGGTTCCGAAGCTTGGGTGGAAGCATCAATAGGATATCCTGCCATTTTTGTTAAAGTTGGTTCTCCTGTTGGAGAAACCTTCCTGGGAAAACTTAACAAATACAATGTCTTATAATTCAACAGCCTAGAGATAGATGATGTAATTGGTTTTAGGGCACATAACCATGAAAGTAGCATTTAACATTCTTTCTATTCCATAAGTACATGGATGTTGGGGATAATACATGTGTAAAGTAGTAAAGAATTTATTTAGTAGAATCATTTGACTTTATACCAAAGACTATAATCGCATTAAAATTTCACCAGAAGTTGAACAAACGGAAATTATTTGTAGAGTTTGTGACCACCCTTCTGCATGAGGGAATAAATACAGCAGTCTGTAGGAATAAGTAAATCCCTTAGATATTCCTGATTAGAGATTTGAATCTTTGCACCTTTAAGCGCCCGTAGACTATCATTTCATTAAAATTTCACCAGAAGTTGAACAACAATCTTATATATGTGACATATATGCCATTTATTAGTCAGATCTTCTGAATAGGTACAACCACGCGCCTCGTACCCAACAAAAGAAACTAGATTGCCCTTGTCTGCGTGCATGAGCAAAAATTTTCTAACAATTGGTGAACTGTTAACAAAATTGTAAAAATGCTCAACTAGGTGCTGTTAGGAAGAGAATGTTGACATGCTTCAAAACTGTTATACACCAAAACCACATTCTTCAAGCTTAATTATCAGTTATTGATTTTGGCTAAGTGGAATGCATGAACCAGTAAGTACAGTTTGATTTTAGCTGCTGCCAACCAAAACAACCAAAGTCCCATTATTTCAAAAGGTTGCTATATATAGTTACAATTATTCCATATGTCACATGCTGCGTGTTGGAGCTTTGAGAGGAAAAAATTGACTTAAGTACTTGCCTTTAGTGAGTTAACATCCAAACCTGACTCTCTCAACCATCTAAGTTTTCTGAACAGTGTGTTCCAACTAAAAGTAGCAAAAAAGTGAGCAAATAATCAAAGCTTCTAGCTTTCAGTTACATTCAAAGAATATATTCATTGATACAAAACCTTATTTTCTTGTCAGCTGCTTAGGACACAATTACTGATATATTAAGTTCAAACTCATATGATGTAGAGAGTTTCCTTGCCTCAATTGCCCTGCTAGCTAAAATTCCAACAGAATCTAACTGAGTAGATTGAGAAGCCCCAACAATTAAGAGAAAAAATAGAGCCAGAGCAGAACACACTATAGCCTACATGTTTAAAGAGAAGAGCAGAAACGAACCTGTTTGCAGTAGAACTTAAATAAAAAGCAGAACCTGAGCTGCCGGCGTTCGACCGTCAATTTCGTGAATCGCCGGGTCTTCCTGTTGATTTCGTTGCGATTTGATCGATTTGCCTGTTGGGCTCTTTGAGCACACCAATTTATGCGCTATTCACGCGAAGAGAATTTTAAAGGTTGCATGATATCAAGCAGCAATTGGAACGGAACTAAAACGGTTCTATACTTCTATTGAAGTGTTCATTAACCAATTTTATTATTACATGACTAGTGAATTTATTTTGCGCGGTCATAAAAGACCTAAATAGTATTTTTCTAATATCCCATGTTATATATACATTATTCATTATATATAAATATACTTGATTTCAAAGTACTAATTAATTTTAAACATAATTTTATATTTTTTATAATTTTTCATCATTCCGGTTTAATTATCTTCTTGAGATAGTCGATTCCTTTTCTAATGACCTATATAGATAAAAACTATACATTTTTTTGTCCTTTAAATATATTGAATGTCAAATACTCAAACTCAAACATAATTCTCAAAAAGCAGTCCATAAAATTAAGCTATTGATATTGATGGGTCTCAATACACTCAATCTTGCATGAGCACATGAAAAGTTCTTAAATTATGGTCTATGGGCTCATTCATAGTATTTATACTTTACCTAAGTATTGTTCTCTTATACACGAAAATACATACGCTAAACGGTTAGAAAATACAAAAAGGAAGAAGGTTAAGAATTATTCAATTTACATTGAGAAAGAGAAGGAAAGGTTCAACTGAAGCACGTAGAATTCCGGCTCATGAAAATAGAAGCCTCACCCATATTGGCTTTGACGAATTGCCTTATGACATTCCATCTAGAAAGCATCGTTCATTTGTTTTGAAATGGGAAGAGAAGGCAAAATTATAAGCCATTGAGAAATTAGAAAAGGAAAAACATTAGAAAAGGAGACTACGAGGTCGCCAAAAGAATAGCCAAAAAAATAAAAGAAAAAACATAAATGTGTTTACTAAATACGAACATAAGAGAAATTGTAAAGTATCTTTCTTCCCATCACTAAAATTTAATCAATCAGATAATAATTACCGATATTCTCTTCTACCTATTTTTCTGCAAAATTCCAACATCATCTTCTTTCTCTGATTGTGTAAATCTTCTAACCATTTCAAAATGTCCACCATCCTTTTTCTATAAATTCAGTGAACTGGTGCTTTTTTTATTCTTCACAACACTAAGAACATGTATGTGTAATAAAAAGGGATCAAGAATCTACTAATACTTCAATAAGAAAGGCTAAAGGAAAAAATAAGCACCTGTAGATGAATAAGGCTTCCTGTTGTGCTTGTTAGATATGCTTCTCAAGGAGTTGAATAGTGGTGTAAAAGGAACTGTTTTCCTCGTAATTTTGAAAGTTGTGGTTTCTCCTCCTTCAAAACATCGATCATGGTCATTTTCTGGAATAGTGGCATACTGCTTTAATTAGCTAGACCTTGCCAACTAATCAAAATATATTTTAAAACACACATAATATCTGTGGTGTCCGGCAATCTAATTGAGAAACTTGAATATGTTGATTAATAGTCATCAATTACCGATAGTGTTGTAACGTTCCAATACTAAGGCGTATTTTCAAGTTGCCGCGATCAGTTACCGATAGTGTTGTAACTTGAATACATTGATTAATAGGCGTCATACATTGATTAATAGTCATCAGTTACACATAATCATTTTCAACATACATGAAAATAAATTGGCAAAAAAGCAAAAAACAAGGAAAAAGATAAATAGCCATCCTCAACTATGGAGGATGCCACATCAGCTCTATTATTCCCAGAATTATATATATATATATATATATATATATATATATATATGCAAGAGTCCCATTGGGCTCATCCGTAGGTATTGCCACCATATTGTTTACATTAGGAATGCAAGTTGCAAAAAGGTTCCCAAGTTCAACTAACTTAGCAAATATAGTAATAGATACAAGTCTAGATTTAGTAGAGCCAATCTTATCATCATGGACAATTTTCAAAAGTGCATTCGGTGGTTGTTCCAAAAGAGAAAGAGGAATGTTGATTACTTGCTTGGATCCCTGGGTGGCCAAAAAGTGAGCAACTTTGTTTCCCTTCCTGAAGTTATGCCGGATCGGCGGATTCTCTAGTTTCTTCAGTAATGACCTTCAGTCAGTAACCAAGTTAGAATATATTGAACAAATATCTTTATTAAGCAGACGAATTATGTCTGTAGCATCCGTTTCAATTTCTAAATTCAACAGGTTTCTTTCGCAGGATAGTTGTAGCCCAGTCTTGAGAGCTAGAAGCTCCGTAAGATCATATGCTAATATTCATTTAGATATCATACCTATAGAACCTTAATTGATTAACTAATCGATTGTTTATGTTGTTCTTATTACACTGCTCGCCCAGATAGCATGGCTATAGAAATAAGCATGATAAAATTGCGTTCAAACACCAATTATTAGAGAATCTGCCTATAAGACACTGTTATTCGCTTAGAAAGCATGCCAATAGGATCAAATATGGGTAACTCTGAGTTTTCAAACGGTTTCACTGCCCCATTGCGCAAATCACTTAAAGATCATGTCTATAAGTTTTATAATATATGTAATATGTAAATTCGATAGTCTGAAACATCAGCACTTCCTGTAGGATGTTTTAAACTGGAATCACATAGAAGCCATGACTATAGGACTTAATGACTCTAATATGCCTTGATTTTGAAATTGCGTACTGCCTAATACGAAAGTTGCCTGTGTGCTTTTGTTGCTTAGGTCTGGAGGTTAACTTGAGCCATCTATTGTCTTTATATAGTCCTACATGTTTAAAATGTGTGGCTAGTTTTATCATTTTGAGTACCCTAAGTAAAGTCTAGAATCACCCAAATAGTAGGTCTAAAGCCTCCTAAACCATAGACATGGGACATGTAGTGCACTCATAAGACACGGTTTAGAATTGAACTAGAGAATTTTAGGCAAATAATTTTAACATAGTAATTGGGTAGCAGGAGATGATAGTCTATCCCCGCTGAATAATATGAGCAACCCCTACCCTAAGGGAGTTGCAAACTATTATTTATGTTGCACGGGGTGATCCTTTAGGCTAAAAAACTTAGGACTCACTCCTTTATATATTTATTGGTCGCGCCGTTATGAACTTAAAATAATTAGGTTGTATCTTGTAACCTCTAAAGACTTGCACTGATAATTTATAGCTTAATTCCTTCACATGTGTGATTTTTCTTTACATTTGTTTCACAACGTAGTTGAACCTTTAATTCATTGTCTTCCTTCATTTACATAATCACATAGGACAATTATAATTCGATAATCTCACATAGCATTAATTTCGATCAGGACCCACAGTTATGAACCTCGAAGAGTGCCTAACACCTTTTCTTCGAGGTAATTTGAGCTCTTACCCAATCTTTGGTAACACAGACTAGTTAAAATAGAGTTATTTGCAAATAGGTGCCCCTAACACACCTCAAAATTGTTAGGTAGCGACTCTTCTCTTTTAATACTGCCACGATCCTAAACTTGGACCCGGTCGTGATGACGTCTCTCGTGAAGACAAGGCCAGCCGACACTTTCCACTTCAATTTTTAACAGTGAAACCATAAGAAATAAGTCTAAAGCATAATAAATAAAATCCAACGTAGCAGATAATAGCATAATTTGCAGAATACAACCCAACGCAGCCCGATACCGGGGTGTCACTAGTCATGAGCATCTATCAATTCTAAAACAAGTCTGAAAAGTCTATAAGCTATTACAAAATGTCTGATAATGAGACAGAAATGATAAAGGGGGAGAAACACGGGACTGCAGATGCCAAGCAGCTGCCTCGTGGACTCAAAAATCTGCCGAGAGCTCTCAACTCGCACTGGCAGGATCCACAACGCCTGAATCTGCACACGGGGTGCAGGGAGTAAAGTGAGTACTCTAACT